GTCGTGTCTCTTTGGAGTCACGTCGTGTCTCTTTGGAGTCACGTCGTGTCTCTTTGGAGTCACGTCGTGTCTCTTTGTAGTCACGTCGTGTCTCTTTGGAGTCACGTCGTGTCTCTTTGGAGTCACGTCGTGTCTCTTTGGAGTCACGTCGTGTCTCTTTGTAGTCACGTCGGTCTCTTTGGAGTCACGTCGTGTCTCTTTGTAGTCACGTCGTGTCTCTTTGTAGTCACGTCGTGTCTCTTTGTAGTCCACGTCGTGTCTCTTGTAGTCACGTCGTGTATCTTTGTTAGTCATCGTCGTGTCTCTTTGTAGTCACGTCGTGTCTCTCTTGGAGTCACGTCGTGTCTCTTTGGAGTCACGTCGTGTCTCTTTGTAGTCACGTCGTGTCTCTTTGTAGTGACGTCGTGTCTCTTTGGAGCACGTCGTGTCTCTTTGTAGTCACGTCGTGTCTCTTTGTAGTCACGTCGTGTCTCCTTTGTAGTGACGTCGTGTCTCTCTGTAGTCACGTCGTGTCTCTTTGTAGTCACGTCGTGTCTCTTTGGAGTCACGTCGTGTCTCTTTGGAGTCACGTCGTGTCTCTTTGTAGTCACGTCGTGTCTCTTTGGAGTCACGTCGTGTCTCTTTGTAGTCACGTCGTGGTCTCTTTGTAGTCACGTCGTGTCTCTTTGGAGTCACGTCGTGTCTCTTTGTAGTCACGTCGTGTCTCTTTTGTAGTCACGTCGTGTCTCTTTGGTAGTCACGTCGTGTCTCTTTGGAGTCACGTCGTGTCTCTTTGTAGTCACGTCGTGTCTCTTTGTAGTCACGTCGTGTCTCTTTGTAGTCACGTCGTTCTCTTTGTAGTCACGTCGTGTCTCTTTGTAGTCACGTCGTGTCTCTTGTAGTCACGTCGTGTCTCTTTGGAGTCACGTCGTGCTCTCTCTTTTGGAGTGCACGTCGTGTCTCTTTGGAGTCACGTCGTGTCTTCTTTGTAGTGACGTCGTGTCTCTTTGGAGTCACGTCGTGTCTCTTTGTAGTCACGTCGTGTCCTCTTTGTAGTCACGTCGTGTCTCTTTGTAGTGACGTCCGTGTCTCTTTGTAGTCACGTCGTGTCTCTTGTAGTCAGCGTCGTTGTCTGCTTTGGAGTCACGTCGTGTCTCTTGGAGTCCGTCGTGTCTCTTTGTAGTCACGTCGTGTCTCTTTGGAGTCACGTCGTGTCTCTTTGTAGTCACGTCGTGTCTCTTTGTAGTCACGTCGTGTCTCTTTGGAGTCACGTCGTGTCTCTTTGTAGTCACGTCGTGTCTCTTTGTAGTCACGTCGTGTCTCTTTGTAGTCACGTCGTGTCTCTTGGAGTCACGTCGTGTCTCTTTGGAGTCACGTCGTGTCTCTTTGTAGTCACGGTCGTGTCTCTTTGTAGTCACGTCGTGTCTCTTTGGAGTCACGTCGTGTTCTCTTTGTAGTCACGTCGTTGTCTCTTTGTAGTGACGTCGTGTCTCTTGGGAGTCACGTCGTGTCTCTTTGGAGTCACGTCGTGTCTCTTTGTAGTCACGTCGTGTCTCTTTGTAGTCACGTCGTGTCTCTTTGTAGTTCACGTCGTGTCCTCTTTGTAGTGACGTCGTGTCTCTTTTGTAGTCACGTCGGTCTCTTTGGAGTCACGTCGTGTCTCTTTGGAGTCACGTCGTGTCTCTTTGGAGTCACGTCAGTGTCTCTTTGTAGTCACGTCGTGTCTCTTTGGAGTCACGTCGTGTCTCTTGTAGTCACGTCGTGTCTCTTTGGAGTCACGTCGTGTCTCTTTGTAGTCACGTCGTGTCTCTTTGTAGTCACGTCGTGTCTCTTTGTAGTCACGTCGTGTCTCTTGTAGTCACGTCGTGTCTCTTTGTAGTCACTAGCGGACGTCGTGCTCTTTGGAGTCACGTCGTGTCTCTTTGGAGTCACGTCGTGTCTCTTTGGAGGCTCTTTGGAAGTCAGCGTCGTGTCTCTTTGTAGTCACCGTCGTGTCTCTTTGTAGTCACGTCGTGTCTCTTTGGAGTCACGTCGTGTCTCTTTGAGTCACGTCGTGTCTCTTTGGAGTCACGTCGTGTCTCTTTGTAGTCACGTCGTGTCTCTTTGTAGTCACGTCGTGTCTCTTTGGAGTCACGTCGTGTCTCTTTGGAGTCACGTCGTGTCTCTTTGTAGTCACGTCGTGTATTTGTAGTCAGTCGTGTCTCTTTGGAGTCACGTCGTGCTCTTTGGTCACGTCGTGTCTCTTGGAGTCAGTCGTGTCTCTTGTAACGTAGTGGTCTCTTTGTAGTCACGTCGTGTCTCTTTGGAGTCACGTCGTGTCTCTTTGGAGTCACGTCGTGTCTTTTGTAGTCACGTCGTGTCTCTTTGGAGTCACGTGTCTCTTTGTGTCAGTCGTGTCTCTTTGTAGTCACGTGGTGTCTCTTTGGAGTCACGTCGTGTCTATTTGAGTCACGTCGTGTCTCTTGTAGTCACGTCGTGTCTCTTTGTAGTCACGTGTCTTTGTAGTCACGTCGTGTCTCTT